GCAGGTGCTCAGGAAGTGGCTGCTGAGCTGAATGGGTTCGGGACTGTCAGAGGATGACCATCCCCTCACAGACAGGGAAACCAGGGCTCAAAGTGTGTTTGCATCGTGCTTTGCACTTTACCAAGGCCTCTCACCCAAGTTAGCTCGTTTAAAAGTTGGTCCTCACCATCACTATATATAAAGTAGGAAAGGCCAGTACTTGCAAGTAAAAAGATGACAGTAATGATGTGCCTAACCAACAGTGAATTGGTCACTGCTAGACTCCCCCACATAGAGCGAGTCAGCCTCTGCTGCCAACGGACAGCTAAAACCCGATGATGGAGAAATTCAGGTCCTTATACAAGGACGGAAAGAAGATTACTCTTCTAGGGACAAAAACAATCAGAAATGTTATTGGCAATCTTTGGACTAAAAAAAATGTCCTTTAACACATAGAAGAAAAGCTCGCATAAGTTATTGCTGGCAGTGTAATTTGGTCCTATTTTTACACAGGAAAATTTGTGAATATATATCAAAATTTAAATTAACACAATTTTGATGTAGTGATTTACTTTTAAAAATTAATTAGTTTTACACTATGGTTGTGATAAAAAAAAAAAATTAATTAGTTTTAATTTTTGGCTGCACTGGGTCTTTGTTGCTGCCCATGGTCTCTCTAGTTGCAGCAGGTTGCAGTGTGGGGCTTCTCAGTGTGGTGGTTTCTCTTGCTGGGGAGCACAGGCTCAATAAAGGTGGTGTGTGGGCTTAGTGGCCCTGAGGCATGCGGAATCTTCTCGGACCTGGGATTGAACTTGTGTCCCCTGCATTGGCAGATTCCTAACCACTGGACCAGCAGGGAAGTCTGTGATTTCCTTTTATGAATGTATTCTCACTATAGACATACTGGCACAAGAGTGCACAGATATATGAGGAAAAGGATTTACTGAATATGAGAATGTTCACTGGGGCACTGTTAGTAACTGAAGACTTTTTAAAAACACTTATATGTACTGTATGTCAATTAAATTTCAATAAAACTGGAGGAAAAAAGAATCAAGGAGTACATAACATGTGTATAAATTCCAAGGACAATAAAAAACAGCACTCCCCCAAAAAAACTCACAAACTATCAAAAGAGAACAATAAATCAATCCTGTACAACATGATAAACACCAGCATAAAATCAAACACAAGGACAATAAGGATCACAAAGGAAAATCAACTACATACTTCAATAAAATTAAAAAATTTTTAAAAATGGAGCATGAAGGAAACTTTTAATCTGGCTCAGAGGAATGGGAGGGGGTGCCTGGGTGGTTCCTGGACAGAGTAATTGTATTTTATAGTACATATGACCTTTTAATAAACTCTGATGTCTCTAATGTCTTGATAAAATGATAAAATTAAGATCACTTCTATTATCTAGATCAGTACAGTATCAGAATACAACTTAAATTAACCTAAGAGTTCATCAATAGATTGTTGGCTACAGAAATTAGGAGTTATCTGGGTAGTGATATTTTATAGAGCCCTTTGAAATATAACATTAATCTGTGTATCACCATGAAAATAACTACCATAATATATTCATTCAAAGATACTTAACAGGATGACTTCCTTTCAGTAAAAATACCCATCGAAGTATCAGTAATAGCTACCTCGGGAAAGTGAGATGGGCTATTTTTTTAACTTCATTCAATTCCATACTACTTGATTTGTTTAAATGGAAATAGATTATTTTAAAAATAAAAATTAAAGAAAAGCTATTCAATTCTGACTACCTGAGAAGCTTTCCACCTTTTGAAGAGCAGTAAGTGGACCCCAGGAAGCGGCTGGCCATTGCCCTACTGCACCACAGTGCCTAGTACCACGCTTTGCATGGTGTTGGGGTGGCTTGGTCCATAAGCCAGGTCACTCTTTAGTAAAGCGAGATGGAAGCACATAAGAACACTGAGCTTTTTTAATCCTAAAATCGGAGTCAGTCAGTCAAAAGAGAAGAATTTGAAAGATAGATTATATAAATGTCAACCCACTCCAAATTAACTGGGGGGTTCCACCTATGTTGAATAAGGATTCTTAATGAATCCCTGCCATGTTTCTTTGAGCATCTCTTGGGGCATTTATCTGTTGGTTCAGAGGTCACAGGGGCACACGGAGGAAGAACTCTCAGGCAGTGCTCAGGTGGTCCAGGCAGAGAACCCTGAACCTCCTCAGCAACGGTCTCATAAAAAGGAGTTCAGACTGATGGAACTCTCCTGGGACACAGCTTCCATTTTCTCCTGGGGAATTCTGTCCTGATGCATTCTAACTACCAGAAAGCTCCTTATCAAACTGAGCTGGAATCTGTTTCTTTGTAAAACTGACCCGTGGATCCCAGCTCTGCCCTCCAGGGTCACATACAATGGTTCTAAGTGGGGCTGCAGTGGTTTACCAGAACAGGCCCTGGGAAACCTGCCTTGAGACCCAGCTTCCACTCTTAGGTGCTGTGTGGACCCTGAAACAAAGACTAGCAATTCTCTCTAATTGTAAACTTCTTTACAAAATGGGGATGATCATAGTTTCTACCTCACGGGGCTGTTTTAAGAAGATAATGAAATAACATATGCAAATTGCCATCACAAATGTATGGCACAATATGCTCAATAAGTAATATTAAATTTTATTTTTTAAAATTTATTTTTAGATATTATTTATTTTTTGGCTGTGTCCTGTGTGCTGTGTGGGATCTTAGTTCCCTGACCAAGAATCAAACCTGTGCCCTCTGCAGTGGGAGCTCAGAGTCTTAACCACTGGACCACCAGGGAAGTCCCTCATATTACAATTTTTATAGACCGTTTCCATTAGGTGTTCAATTAGGAGTCAGTGAGGAAAGTGCCACCAAACAGCACAGTCAACGTATGAGGCCTCCGCCAGTGAAATGTGCCCTGAGAACCTTGATGCCAAGTGATTCAAGTGTCTCCTGCGTTTTCTTCACCAGAAACTAATTAGAAAAACACTCCCAGGGAGGGGAGGGGCATTTCGTATCGTTAATTCGGCAACAACAAATACTCTGTACTTTCACGATCATAGATACTAACGTATAAAAGTAACTTGGGGTATTTAAGGACCTCACTCATCTCTAGGGGACGTACGGAAAGAGCTCCCTCAGGGCCTTCTCTCAAAACGTGTCTCCCTGCAGCTTCCCGATATTCAGAGAGCTGTCAGGGGAAACCCAGGTCTTCTGTGGCCATTCTAAAACTTTTCTCAGGGCTAATGACTGCACATCACCCTGGATTTGACTTATGTTATCATTCAAGACAGAATTATAAACCCTACATATATTCAGGAATGTGAGTATGATGTACACATGTATTTATAGCATAGGTCTATATAACATACCACACGAAGGGTGGCGGACTAGGAGACTCAGGATCTAGGTCTAAGTTTGACCTTACTGTGTGAACTCTTAGGACCTCAGCTTACTCATCTACAAAACGGTTACAATCGATAATTCTGACAGTATATATCCTAAGGAGTTTTAGCTTTGCTGTTTTAATTGAGCTCCAAGCCTCCATCTTTTAAGTAAGACAGTAATATTAAAAAAAAAAATCCATTACAAGTATTGAGGTTCTACATAAGAACTCATTTGAAAAATGAGTCTTTTTCACCAAAAGATGTTTAATGATTCTTGCTGACTTTCCTCCTAAGTATATTACCTAACAATATTAACAATGTTGGGTAAGGATAAGTCCCTTTTATTATTCAGTTGGTACTTAATGCCCAGAGCATTTAAAATGACTTCCTCCCAACTCCATTCCTTCTCCCACCCTCATTTCCCAGCTCCAGGTTTAAATCATTAAACGGAGAGAAAATCTTTAGCACTGCAAGTCAATGGCTCATTCCTTCCAGAAACTCCCCTTAACTATAAAATGAAATGAGATCAGAAGCATAATCAGCCTGGAGGCTGATGGATGTCTCTTTCGACACAGATTCTGGATGCCTCTCTATTCTCTGTTCACTGGCCCCTCTCACACCCTCTCTCCGGCCAGCATAACTCAGGCTGGGCAAATCCCTGATGGGAGCCAGCCACTTTACTTTAGCAAAATGTGAGCTGTTGAAAAGAAGCCCGTTTGCAACAACATCTCAAAGCCCTGCCTCTGCCAGCTGAGTGTGTGGGGGAAGGGCTTATAAAGAAGCATGGACCTGGTGGGAGCCATGTTTAATGCAGACATGCCCCCTAAGTCTCTGTGGCTCCTGGGGTGCACAGCGGTGAAGCTCAGCTGTATCAACAGAGCCCCGGGACCCGCGTGTCGGGCGACCTGCCTCTGCCGGGACAGCGGAATGTGGGGCAAAGGGGCCTAGGTGTGGAACTGAAGACAATGGTGTGAGCCTCAGCTCCAGGACAGGGGCTTCGTTTCCTGAACCGCTATTTTCCTAACTATAAAATACCCACTGGAGCTGCCTCACAGGCACGTTGTATGCTTTACATAAAACAGGGTCTGAAAGGCATTTTGTAAATTAGAAAGCATCATCAAGATAAAAGCTGTATCCAGTGGCCTGTGAGACAGTCATCTAAATGTGATCCATAAGAACTCCCCAAAGCTTGCTTAAATCCCTTCTTGTGATATGCATATAAAAGATTAGTGAATTATCAAATAAATGAAGTGTTTCACTATGTTCACATAATTTTTCAAAGTCTTAATTATAAAAACCACTGTCTGATATTCCATAAAGGACTAAATATAAAATGACAAAGATCTAATTACATATGAAAAATTATACATATTATAAAATCTAATTACATATGATTAAAAAATAGGACTAGATTATTCTTAAAGAACTACTATAGTGGCAATCAATTTTGCAAATGTATACAGTTATATCCAAAAGTTTTACAAAAAGAGCTTAAATCCAGAGTCTCCATTTCACAACTTCACTAACTAGTGTATGTTTTACTCCTCGTTTAGATGTTGTGTCTCAGAGTTATCTGTGTAGATGGAGATGCTGGAAGACCATGGAGTGCAGCTTCCCACAGAAACTCATCAGTTCCTCTGGTCGGGAGGTTCTCTGGAATAATCCTCTTCATTCTCCTCTGAGCAGGACAAGTTCAGTGCGCTCATCACGGGGTGCATCCAGGATGTAGTCTGTGTTACGTGACTTGGGAAGAAGAACAAGAAGAGATGCAATCATGATTGGAGAGACTATCCTTCTACCCACTAGGCAAGCAGTGATCCTGCTGACACTGTTTCCACCCTACTGCAGTCCCCTGAATTACAAAGCAGTTGGAACAGGATCCAGTAGTTTTTAAAAGTCTTAGATATGTTTTGCAGGTTCAACAAAATCCATTTCTTTATTTTTAGTAAAAAACAACAACAACAACAACAAAAAACAAACAAAAAAAACAAGGCAGGAGAATGTATCATCTTCGAATACTCACTCTTTCTCACCCATCAGCAAGTCCTGTGACTGTCATGCTGTAATAACATCTCTGGAATCTTTTCCTTCTTCTCCTTTTCCAATGCTATAGACTGGGGTCACTGAAACAGCTTGTTTCTCTGCCTCTGTTTGAGTTTTTTAATTCATTCCCCACTCTAGCCAAGAGATCTTTCTAAATGACAAATCATACACTGTTGCTCACCTGCTAAAAATTCAGTGCCAACTAATGCTTTCTGGATTAAATACACACTGCACAGTATGAAATACCTTGCTTTTTACCTGCCTCAACAATACTTTCTTCTCTGCTACCAATACTCCTCTTTCCCATCTTGTTTATCCAGCTAACTCTAATTCTAAAGAATCAAATACCCCTCAAGAATCCTCCAATCTGTGCCAATGGCCTTATCTCTCACACTATGTTACAAGTGACTATTTATTCTTAGTCCTTCTCACTAAGGACTTAGTCTTTACTCCTGCATGTAAAGGTCATCGAGGGCAGGAACTGGGTTTCCTAACTTTGAATCTATGGTACCTAACATATTTTCACAACAAATAACTAGGCATTTCAGGGAAGAACACAAGCAGAGGTAAGGAAGGGTGTACAGAGACACGGGGCATTTTCAGGGGGTGGTCAAACATCACTGCATGTGCCCCTACTGAGGGATGGTGTTTCTCAGAACTAGTATCCAATCCCAGCCTTCAGCTGGATGTCTCGCCTAAATCCACCTCTATCTGACTAGCTCCTTGGTCCTGGAGAGATAGCTTTTGGAACAGGCTGACTTGTTTCTTCCCCTTAGATCCTCATTTTAGCCCTGGTTTACCCTGCTGCACTATCCATCCTAGATCAACTTCCTGTGTCCCATCCTACCTAAACTCAACCTCAGAGCAGCATCGTGTCTTAGACCAAGCGCACCTGAGGGCTGGCACTTATGAAGATCAAATAAGACTGTGGATCTGAAAGAATTTCCTACTTCCTAAAATATTACAGCATAACATTTCCAAAGTGTCTAACAAGGGTTTTTATTTATTTATTTATTTATTTTTAGTGGAGTGCAGTTTATTACACCGGTGGGCCCAAGGCAGAGTCTCCTCTTAGCCAAGGGCCCCGACCAGCATTTGTGAAAATCTTTTATACCCCATGTGTAAAACCTACCAGCCCAAATCCCTTGAGGCTTAGAAAGGAAGGGTAAATACAATCACAATAACCCCATCATTCACATATTATAACAAGGATTTTTAAATACACATTATATTATAGAGCATCTCCATCTTTGGCTGCAAAGAATATAATCAATCTGATTTCAGTATTGGCCATCTGGTGATGTCCATGTGTAGAGTCATCTGTTATGTTGTTGGAAGAGGATGTTGGCTATGACCAGTGCAAAGCTCTGTACAGTCAGCAAAAGCTCTATACATTCAGTAAGCTCTATACAGTCTACAGAGAAGACTGTATACAGTCAGCAAAAATAAGAAGCTCTATACAGTCAGCAAAAACAAGACCTGGAGCTGACTATGGCTCAGATCATGAACTCATTATTGCAAAATTCAGACTTAAATTGAAGAAAGTAGGGAAAACAACTAGACCATTCAGGTATGATCTAAATCAAATCCCTTATGATTATACAGTGGAAGTGACAAATAGATTCAAGGGATTTAAACCTGATAAGACAGAGTGCCTGAAGAACTATGGACAAAGGTTCATAACACTGTACAGCAGGCAGTGATCAAAACTATCCCAAAGAAGAAGAAATGCAAAAAGGCAAAATGGCTGTCTTAGGAGGCCTTACAAATAGCTGAGAAAAGAAGAGAAGCGAAAGGCAAAGGAGAAAAGGAAAGATATTCCCATTTGAATGCAGAGTTCCAAAGAATAGCAAGGAGAGACAAGAAAGCCTTCCTCAGTAATCAATGCAAAGAAATACAGGAAAACAACAGAATGGGAAAGACTAGAGATCTCCTCAAGAAAATTAGAGATACCAGGGGAACATTTCATGCAAAGATGGGCTCAACAAAGGACAAAAATGGTATGGACCTAACAGAAGCAGAAGATATTAAGAAGAGGTGGCAAGAATACACAGAAGAACTATACAAATAAGATCTTCAAAAGCCAGATAACCACGATGGTGTGATCACTCACGTATAGCCAGATATCCTGGAATGTGAAGTCAAGTGGGCCTTAGGAAGCATCACTATGACCAAAGTTAGTGGAGGTGATGGAATTCTAGTTGAGCTATTTCAAATCCTGAAAGATGATGCTGTGAAAGTGCTGCACTCAATATGCCAGGAGATTTGGAAAACTCATTAGTGGCCACAGGACTGGAAAAGGTTAGTTTTCATTCCAATCCCAAAGAAAGGCAATACCAAAGAATGTTCAAACTACTGCACAATTGTACTCATCTCACATGCTAGCAAAGTAATGGTCAACATTCTCCAAGTCAGGCTTCAACAGTACATGAACCAAGAACTTCTAGATGTTCAAGTTGGATTTAGATAAGGCAGAGGAACCAGAGATCACATTGCCAAAATCTGCTGGATCATAGAAAAAGCAAAAGAGTTCCAGAAAAACATCTACTTCTGCTTCACTGACTACACTAAAGCCTTTGACTGTGTAAATCACAAACTGTGGAAAATTCTTCAAGAGATGGACTACCAGACCATCTTACCTGCCTTCTGAGAGATCTGCATGCAAGTCAAGAAGCAACAGTTAGAACTGGACAGGGAACAACAGACTGGTTCCAAATAGGAAAAGGAGTACATCAAGGCTGTATATTGTCACCCTGCTTATTTAACTTATATGCAGAGTACATTATGCAAAATGCTAGACTGAATAAAGCACAAGCTGGAATCAAGGTTTCAGAGAGAAATATTAATAACCTCAGATAGGCAAATGACACCACCCTTATGGCAGAAAGCAAAGAGGCACTAAAGGGCCTCTTGATGAAAGTGAAAGAGGAGAGTGAGAATGTTGGCTTAAAACTCAACATTCAGAAAACTAAGATCATGGCATCTAGTCCTATCAGTTTGTGGCAAATAGATGGGGAAAGAATGGAAACAGTAACAGACTTTATTTTCTTAGGCTCCAAAATCACTGCAGATGATGACTGCAGTCATGAAATTAAAAGACGTTTGCTCCTTGGAAGAAAAGCTATGACCAACCTAGACAGCATATTAAAAAGCAGAGACATTACTTTGCTGACAATGGTCTGTCTAGTCAAATCTATGGTCTTTCCAGTAGTCATGCATGGATGTGAGAGTTGGACCTGAAAGAAAGCTGAGTAGTGAAGAACTAATGCTTTCAAACTGTGGTGCTGGAGAAGACTTGAGAGTCCCTTGGACTGCAAGGAGATCAAACCAGTCAATCCTAAAGGAAATAAATTCTGACTATTCAGTGGAAAGACTGATGCTGAAGCTGAAACTCCAATACTTTGGCCACCTGATGTGAACAACTGACTGGAAATGACCCTTAGCTGGGCAAGAGTGAAGGCAGGAGGAGAAGGGGACGACAGAGGATGAGATGGTTGGATGACATCACCAACTCAATGGACATGAGTTTCAGCAAGTTCTGGGAGTCAGTGATGGCCAGGGAAGCCTGGGGTCCATGAGGTCGCAAAGAGTTGGACACGACTGAGTAACTGACGAGTCTGTAATAATACTTAAACTACCATGCCCTGTTAGCACACATGGGACGAGTGCACCATTGAGTGCAATTTGGACTTGACTGCAAACAGGCACTTACTATATTGGCTGTTGATGACAATAACTGAAATGATGGACTTAATACTAATGGTCAGACTCACTGTTATTACTGGATTTGTTTTGTTTTCAATCCTGTACTCTAAATTCCATCTATATCCCCCAATACAAATTGTTCAACTCCTCTGTTTAGATGTTGAAAATGCAGCTTTCTATGGAAGAAGATCACTTATAGTTTCATGATAGAGTAAAAGTACTTAAATTGTTTAAGAATTAAGGTGGAGGTGACAAGGCCAGATATTTTCACAGTTCTAAAACCTCAGAGTGTGGCTAAGTGACACAAAGAAATATTATTCTCTTGACAATAATCCATATTACTATGAACTCTTTAAAATGGTTTAGCACAGTTTCTTATTATGGAGGCTAAACTTACAAAGCATGTGATTTTGCACAGGTTAACTTCATTTCAAGGGTTTTTTAAAGCTGGAAAGCTGCCTAAATTGAAAGTGATTTTAAGGAATTACCAGTGAGTGTTAACACAGAGGGCTAGAATACTACTGCAAGGGGAAATGAGGACACAACATCCTGTACAAAGTACCCATTTAAAACTGAAAGGAAAAGTTTGATGGGATACTTTTGCTAATTTTAATATCTTAGTGTATTTACTTTACTGTTTATCAGCACATTTGTAATAGGTTAGTCCAAAGAAGAGACTTTATGAATTACTGTGAATCCTTCCTCTCCTACAGTGCCTCCGAACTGGGGCTGGAGAGGAAGGAAACCAGGCACACTCACCCGAGGGGTGAGTGCAGGTGCATGCTTTCTTAGATGACTTAAAAAATTCTCATGCTTGAAATATTATTGCTGCCCATACATGGGCATTCTGCTGAACTGATAACATAAAATGAGCAAAAGTAAAATGTTCAGGAAGATGTACTTATAGACTCTGAACAATCAATATTAGAAAGTTCCACCAGAAAGTCATCCTTGACAGTAAGCTTTATTAGGCACTTTATATCAACAAATCAATA